GATTTTGGGGTTCCCGTGATCCCCCAGCCCACTGACAGGGATTTGGGGTGTCCCCATGATCCCCCTGGCCAGTGACAGGGATTGGGGGTCCCCATGATCCCCCTGGCCAGTGACAGGGATTGGGGGGGTTGCCATGATGTCCCATCCCTAGTGACAGGGATTGGGGGTCCCCATGATCCCCCACCCCCCTGACAGGGATTCTGGGGGTCTCCGTTATCCCACAGCCTGGTGGTGGGAACTGGGGGTGTTGCCATGATCTCCACACCCCAGTGACAGGGATTTTGGGGGTCCCCATGGTCCCCCCACTCCAGTGACAGGGACTGGGGGTTCCTGTGATTCCCCCAGCCTTGTGATGGAAACTGGGGGGGTTGCCATGATTCCCCCCACTCTACGGAGAGAGATTGAGGGTCTCTATGATCCCACCACCCCAGTGCTCACCAGAAGATGAGATGACAGGGATTTTGGGGGCCCTGTGGTCCCCCCACCCCAGTGATAGGGAATGGAGGCCCTCCATGATCTCTCTCAGCTCAACACGGGCTGAGGTGATGGAGCTTTTGGGGTCCCCACAGTCTCCCCCACATCTGGGTGCCCACCATGGGGGTGAGGTGACAGGGATTTTAGGGTCCTCATGCCCCTGGTGCTACCCAGCGTGGGAGGTGATGGGGTTTTTAGGGTTCCTGTGATCCCAGGGAGTGAACTGACAGGGATTTGGGGGAGAGGGCGGTGTCTCCCCACTGCTCAGCAGTGCCAGGGACTGGGGGGTCCCTGTGATCTCCCCACCCTGAGTGCCCCCCAGGGGGTGAGATGCCTGGGGTTTTGGGATTCTCCTGGGGAGGTATCAGGGACTTTGGGGGCCCGGGGTGCGCTGCTCGGGGGTCCCTCACCGGTGCCGTTGCGCACTCGGTCCCGCAGCTCCCGCAGCCGCGTCAGGTTCCGCTCCAGCTCCAGGGCCGTGGTGTTCACGTACAGGTACATGTAACACGAGGGCTCCGGGGACACC